TTGAATAATCTCCCTGAAGTGAATTAGGGGAAAGTACAAACGTACTGTATTTTTTAATGTTATTTCTTTACTTCTCTTTTTGTATGTTGTGGCTAAGTTGTCTTTTTCTCCCTTCCTCGGAGCCCCTTTTATACTCCATTTCCTACTTTAAGCTCATTAAGAAGTGACCTTTTGAATATGATGAATTGATGAAGTTCATAAAATATGTCGTCACCATCAAAGGAGTGTAACGTCCTCTTCTTCAATTATCGTAACCCCATGCAATCTTGGAGATTTTATGTAACCGTTATCCCGAGCTATCATCTCGGCCCTCAATTTTTCTCATATAGCCCTATACCATCATCGACGCTTCAATTTGGTTCTTTAACTGCCATGCAAGCAATATCTCGACTATCACTACTTTTTTATCATTGCTCGGAACCTCCGACTTTCATATTGGCTCTTAAAAATTATGGGATCTATAATATATATGAGATGATTTTTTTGAGCCTTAAAAGGATTAGATCAAAAGAACACAAGCCAAGTCAGTTACTTTTATACTGGGTGAGCACCCAACATCAGATCATAGGTCTCCGAATGCATGACTAATCGCCCAAAATGCATGTCAAATTGTGTAAAATAGGTCTATGAAGAAGCATCATAAAGAATTTGAATGTCATTTGTATGGATTTCTAGGACAATGTTTCAATTTTGATCTTCCTCTCTATCTTTCTCTCATGTTGTTCTTGGAGTGTTACCTATGAATACGACAACAAATTATGCTAAAGTCTCTCTCTAAAACACCCAATTTCAACTAGTTTGATATGTTATTTATAGGGGTGAGTAACAGTATTCTCGCTTAGAAATACCTTTAGCTCGCCTAGCGAGCTTGTCTTTTTCCATGTAACTTGTTTTCCAGCTCATCCAAGTAGGCACGTGCCACCATATCTCACTAGGAGAGGCCCTCCTTTTCACCTAGTGAGTCAGTTTTCTTCCCCTTGAATTACTTATCCTGCAAGGTTTCTCAAGCCTCTTTGCTTCGCTAGGTAATATTTTCATCTTTGCCTTGCGAGTTTCATTGTTTCACTTTGTAGTAATTGGTTCTGAAGAAATGTTTGAATGCTTTATGTCCTTCCCTAGCTCCCCCAAATCTTCCTTGCATAGAAAGGAATCCGCTGCTCTTTTTTCCCTGTATTTGACTAGGCAAAGTGACTGAATGTGCTTCTCTAGGCATTCCCCTATCTTGCCTAGCGAGCTTCTCGACCCTTTTTCTTGATGCTTTATGTTTTCTTGGACCATTTTCTAGGGTGCTTATGAATAACATAGTTAAAATCTTTGCATAAGTGTTTTTATCATCTTTTCATGATAAATTGGGATTTTTTTCATGTGATAACTTGTACTTTAAGTCATTAAATACCTAAACAAATTTTGCACTTATCAAGTTACCATCAAGGTGCATGTGGGATTGAATAAGAGTGTTCCAAAACATTTATGAGGCTTACATACATTTCTTAATAGATTAATGCCTTTAGCTAATCGGTTAGCGCAAGGTTTAAAGCTTCTTAATCGATTAAGAACACTCTTAATCAATTAGTACACTAGATGTTTTAGGGTTTCATTTTTGTAAATTAGGGTTTCCATTTTTATGAAGCACATAATCGATTAGACCTAACACCTGATCAATTATGAACATTAAAAAGCACATGGATGATTTTCCTTTTTGAGCCAAATTTCTCACCTACAAATATAGGTATCTCCTCACTTTCAAAACATACTAGAAAACGTGTTTAAACATACTTTCTAACTCTATACTCTTTTTCGTTCATTTCTTTTGTTTCACTAACATTTCTTAGCGTTTTAGGACTGAAAAAATATGAGTGTTTATTATAATTTGTGAAAAAGGAATTTATCTCATGTGAAATTTATTTTGACAGAAGTCACAATTTGGTTTGGAAGCTTCTCCAGTAAAAGCTTTTGTTTGGTTCATGAGATTATCCATGAAAATATTTGTTTGGTTCGTGATATGCGCCTAATATAAAAACTCTCATTTGGTTAGTAAGATTGTATGTAAAAATCTCCACTTGGTTCGTGATTTGTGCTTGGTGTAATAGCTCTCATTTGGTTTGTAAGGTTTTCTGTTAAAATTTCGGTTTGGTTTGGAATATAGTCGGTGTCAAAAGTCCAATATGTTTGTAAGACGGTCTGAGGGCATAACCTATAAAAAGCTCATTTCTAAAGTGGAAATTCTCAAAAAGGAGTTCATGGTGATATGAGTAGGACAAGTGGTTAAGATGAACCTTTATAAGCACCTGGTGCAATCTTCTTATCCCTTATCTCTTTTTATATCCATTTTTTTTCTTATTTCTGATGCACTCAAATCTCTTTTCTACTATGATTTTATTCTCTTTATTTACTTTGATGCTTACTCTTTATTTGATTTATAAAATTGATTTAAAAATTTCTTTTGCCAAAAAAATTTCATCAGACGTCATTTTTCAAAGCCACACAATTCACTCCCAACTTGTGTTTGAAGTTACTTATCCAACACTCTTTGGTTCCATTGAAAAGTATTCAAAGAAAGTGTGTTAGGGGTTCGTGATTTTTAGGTTTTTCTGAGGTGGGGGAGGTTTTTGTATGGTTTTGGTGAGTTTTTCTGGTTTAAGTGTTTGGCAATGGAAGTTTGATGAAGATATATATATGGTTTTAGTGTTGTCGAGTTGTGGGATTTTAAAGGTTTTAGCTTTGGAGGTTAGGGTTTTAGAGAGAAGATGGTGAAGATTGAGAGTTTTAGTGGTGTGTATATATATATATATATATATATATATATATATATATATATATATATATATATATATATATATATATATATATATATATATATATATATATATATATATATATATATATATATATATATATATATATATATATATATATATATATATATATATATATATATATATATATATATATATATATATATATATATATATATATATATATATATATATATATATATATATATATATATATATATATATATATATATATATATATATATATATATATATATAGAGAGAGAGAGAGAGAGAGAGAGAGAGAGAGAGAGAGAGAGAGAAATGGAAGAACACGTGAGTTTGGGAGTGTTTTAGTGGGTTATGGGATTTAGGTGGTTGAGATGGATTTATGGGCCACCACTCAAACAGAGAGGAAATGAGTGGGTTTAGGGGATGCACATATTATGGCATGTAGTAGGAGCTACAAACTGGCTGTAATACACTCGAGTCTAATGTATAGAATGAGATTGGTGGAACTACAAATCGTAATGCCCACTACGAAAACATTGTAGTTCCCCTTGTTTTATATAGGATTTTGTCCTGGGATCATTACTGGTCGTAATGCACACTACGGGAAGGCCATACTTTGCCCAGGGTTTTCGGCTTGGTTGTTCAAATTGTTATGATTTTAGGGTCTTCTTCATGTTTCCATCACTTTTCCGTGATCAGGCAACATTTCTTCGATGAATCACCTTTATGTTGCACCTTCAAGGCTTCATTACTCTGAATCTTGTGAGCTTATCTACTCACCTACAAAAAAAAAGAACATTTGAAATTTAAAAACGGCGGGTTTCCTCCCACACAACACACCTTTAAGTCACTAGCATTGATGAATCATTGCAAACCTCCAAGGTAGTTCCTTCAAACTGAAGCATACTCCCTTCTCTACCATATCTTCAGTCGTATAATTATTAAGCCTTTATTTATTTATCATAAGCGAACTAATGGACTTGCTTTAGACATCAATCGCCCTAAATGGTGTCTCCTTTTTTACCCTGAGAAAACTAGACCATCAGGAACAGAGTTTTCTCAAAAAAAATTAGGCTAGGATTGAATAATAACGTTTACTTTTCTTCCATGAAACTTCTCCTTAGGATGTGTACTGGTCAAAATATACATGTGTGTGTTTCTTCTGCAAGGGAAGGGGGACTCAAAGGCCTTTGTAGGTATATTAAGTTGTAAGGTTTTAAGAGTTTGCCCAAGGCGGCGAGAAGCCTTATACAGTGGTGTTTGACGACGAGAGGCATTCTGGATGAATGATGTGCTTAGGTATAAGCGTGTGAGGGGTGTGATTAGTATGAGTTATGATTTATCCTTCACTACTACGATAGAAATGTATTTATAGAGGTCTCTTGCGCCTAAGGTTCTCTTGGAAAGGGTTACCATCCACTCAGTCAATGGTAGACCGTTAAATCACTATTTTCAAGGAGGACCTGGGTAAGTTAATGACCTAGATTTCTCTTTTCCCCGGAAACGTCTTTTCCCACGTTTCTGATGACTAGGCGATAGGAAGACCTTGGGACAGTGCAATATCTCCCTTTAAGCGACATATTATTGTCGCCTCTCCTTCAGCGTTTTGATAGAGGACGAAGTGTTTATTAGACCAAGATTCAAAGGATTATCCTGTGAAAAGTACATTCTCTGATCTTTACTTTTCACTACACTCATCTTAAATCTTGAACTAAATTAAACGTTGGACTGATAACCATACAAATTCACCTCACATGTTATAACATAGATCATCACCACTAATTCAAGACATACTATTCTTCACTTGCATCTATTTATAATTTCCAAACGGAACAATAAATATAAATACATGCATATGTTGGGTCCTAATACAGTCGGTCTCATTTCATTATTTTAAAAAGTAATGTTGTGTTTATTTGAAAAATGATTCTTTCCTATGTAAATTACACATAAGACAATCTATTTATTGGCCATTTAAAATTTTGAAAATTACATTTTTTTTACTTATGTATTTTTCAATTGAGGGTTTAATTAAATTGAAAAATTGATTTAACTTTTTACAACCTAGTACAAGCCGCTCTGTCGGTGTAGAAAAGATCTTGCAAATTTTATTTTACCTCTTCAAAAGCTAAAGGTATTGAAAACATACAAGTTTTACATTCAAAAGTGATAAGATCCGAGCGACACATTAAGTGTTATTTTGAAGCATAATTCCTACTTTGCTTCTTTTGCAGCCTTGTTTCTTCCTAGATAATTCTTAGCAACTAGTTCAATGTTTGCCAATAGATCGATGGAAACAAGTGAAGCCTTAGCTGCTTCCTCAACTTCATACTCTACTGTAGATTTGATTATGCTCGAATCTTCACCTTTCTCTATAACTTCAAAACGAACTCTATATAGTGTAAATCCAAAATCCAGGTATCCACCTTCAACCACCTCTACTTCTTTGATACGCCTTTCATTATCAATCTTCGTGAACTTTTCATTGTAACTAGCTGGACCAGGTATACCTGATCAAAGTCAACCCAAAACAATCAATGTTATTTTTGTTGAAAGGTAAACACATAAGAATCGTTACAATTCATACATCAGACAATTTATGACTTGAATATGTTTTTATAATTGAGACAATCCTCAACTTACAAGTCAGTTTGATTTAACTATAGTTGAGTTACGTTGATCCACATTTCTTTAACAAGAACTATAAATAAAAATACAATACAATAATAAGAATATAAATGACCTGGAGTGAATGTGACTTTGAGAATAGTTCCAACTCCTCCATCTCCTTCAACTATTTCCACCTTCTGAAACAATTGTGGCATCTCTTCACAAACGAGTTTTCCAATACCAAGTGTGCCAAAGAGTTCCCATGCTTCACTTGCTGGCACATCAAGCTCCAACTCATGCTCTAGTTGACCAGACATCTTTTCTCTTTATCACAACAATCACAAAAGCTTACTCTAGTTAGTTTTAAAAGTGTAGAGACTTTGTTACTTATTTATAGATATCAATATATGTTATATGAAATACGTAATTAAGAACAAAATATTTAGGAATATTACGTTACATTCAATGAAACCATTTAGTTAAGGGCTATCTTTTATCTTTTCTTCTATGTTTTTCGGTGAATGTATATTTTTTTATTGTTGATTTATTAATATGTCTAAAGTACGTATCTTTATTTAAAAATGGAAGATTCCGTTATTTCTGATAGCAACGTGGCCGGCTAAATACAAGTTAAATTTTGTTGTTACACAACTTTTTTGGTTACACGTTTCTGTCAAATACTAGAGACAAACTGATGATATTCACAGGTCACAAAAACACAAACAACGAGTCTAAGGTGTCCCTTTCTCCTTCTATACACACCACAAGAAACAATATTGCTGCTAAAATGACCACCCCATGCTCTAAGACCAAAACAAATCACTTAAAACCAAAAACTTATCTCTTTCATGTTGAATCAATTAATGTCGGAAATAGATCACTTAAAACCAAAAACTTATCTAGTGGTTGAGAATTGATAAAAATAATAGAGATGATAAGAGGTTGTCTTAAAAAGTGAGAAAAAAGATGGATGAATGGCTAAGATGTTGATGAGCCATTGAAATTGCCATTGAAATTCACAAACCGTTGATGTCATGACTGTTAGCTCTTAAATTCGACACCTACAACAAGTTGGTCTTATGGACCAAAAATAGATTGAACAAGTGTAAGTTGGAAAGGCCTCGACAGAATGGAAAAACACTTAGAGAAATTTCTAAGTTAAAATGCATCTTCGACCAGAAGATTCTCAATCCCTTCGACTGAAAGAACTCCAGGATCTTCGACCAGAAGGAAACTTCGTATCTGCGCCTGAAGATTTTGAATCTGAAGAAGGAGGGAAAAGCAGTTTGCTTGGCAGTTAAGGGAAGACACTTGTCTTTATCCTAGAGCAAGACAACTCCTCGACAGTTACCTAGTTTTAGTATAAATATAGGAAGTTTATGTAGATTTCCGTGTGTTCAATTGATCGTACAAATTATTCAATACTATTCAAGTACCCGCTGCGTGAGAAAGAATACTGAAAATGTACGTTTGAAACACCACATTTTACAATCAAAGTCTTTTATTTCTCTCTTTACATTTCTTGCCTTTTTATCTTATTTGCACTTTATCTGCACTTTTACCCAGATTCCTGCACCTAAACCCTCCTCAATCCCTTTTCTATTTACTTTCTGCACTCAAACTCATACTTTTCCCAGTCGAACGTGCGTTCTTCACTTACATTGGCATTTATGTCCAAACAACACCAAAAATTAGCATATGTCATAGGATCAAACTGATCGATCCTGCGAGTAACCAAAAAGTTACTCTTTTTGGAAGATCAGCGGTTGTTTACCAGAAAACACGGTGAACAAATTGGCACACCCGGTGGGACGTTGCTAATTTTTTTTGTTTTATTTATTTTTGTCTTCCGTTTTTGCTTATTAATCTTAATATAAATGCTTCGCATGATTTTCTTTCTTTCACGAAGTTTTACATGCTATTAAGAAGTGGCAAAGTAACCACCAACGAGTGTACAACTGAAAAAAGAAATAGTGAAAGCAATATGGCTAATCAGCCAAATAATGGAGAAATACCTCCACCAATTACTACGGGAACAACGGTAATACCAACCGTTAGTGAAATTGTCTCATCAACTGTTGGTTCGATCCAACATTAACAGCAACCCAAACGGGACCAATACTTTCGTATGCATGTCCCAGAGGTCCAACAGGAACACCCCCACCAGGGGTGAATCCAGGATCTCGATCATACGCTCCCTCTGGATTTTCGACAGCCTGGATGGGTCAAGACCAGCCTTATGGCATGCCAACTACTGAAATGGCTAGCCTTATGAATGTTGCGTCTATATTTTCAGAACCTTTGGTAAGTGCGTCTTCACCATTACAGGGTTCTGGAACTGGTATGGGTAGGAACCAACTTTTAGGAGGGATATCCCATGTAATGTAAAGCCTCACAAACGCTTCCACGGCAATTTTGAGGTAACAAATGGATGAAAGCAACCATGACATGGTACAAATGTTGGCCCAAACTCTGAGTACAGTATTGAACCCTCTAATACAAAATACCACTTAGTCAAACCAATAAATGACAGCGCAAATGGCGCGCATGACTGGATTTTTTGGGGTTCCCCAACCTATTCGACAACCCTAGAGAGCTCCTATGAGAGAGGATCAAGGTATAGTCTTAGAAGAAGATGTAACTATTAACCAAAATCCACAACTAGATAGGAGGAACCACAGAGTGGAAATCGAAAAACCTAGGGTCGAAATACCCAGACTCCCCCCGCAGATCCTTAGAGATGGTGATCAAGGTGTAATGGTGGTAAATAGGAACCAAAATACTGACGAACTGATACAACAAGTTCGACACCATAATTATGGCATAGAAAATAATCTGACAACCATGATCGAAAGGATCACGATACAAAATGGAATGAACATTGGATTTCATAGGCCAAATTTTACATCCCCATTGTCAGAATATATCTTGAAAACAGATTTACCCCCTAGGTGGAAATTTCCAAAGTTCACTAAGTTTTCAGGGGATACAACGGAATCTACTGTCGAACATATACCGAGATATTTGATAGAAGCTAGGGAAATATCAAATAATGAGAGCCTTAGGATTAAATACTTCCCAAGTTCTCTAACAAAAAACGCTTTTACTTGGTTTACCACCCTCCCATCCAATTCGATCCACAATTGGAATCAATTAGAGAGATTGTTCCATGAAAAATTTTATATGGGACAAACCAAAATAAGTCTGAAAGAACTGGAAAACGTGAAAAGAAGATTCACTGAACCAATAGAAGAATATCTAAATATGTTTTGATTGCTCAAAGCCAGATGCTTTACACAAGTGCTTGAGAATGAATTTGTCAAAATGGCTGTAGGGGGCCTAGATTATTCTATTAGGAAGAAACTAGATACCTAATATCTGAGGGACATGGTCTAATTGGCCGATAGAGTTCGACAAGTAGAACGTCTTAAAATTGAAAAAGCTAAAGCAACTAAGACTCATCGGCGAGAAAGGGTAGCCTATGTCGAAATGGATGATGATGATCCAGAGACATCTAGTAATCCTATAGTTGTCGAAGAAAGCGAAATAGATTTAGCATAATTAAAACATGGGCCTTCATAGTCTTGTAGAGTGTTACTGCCCTCATATGGGAAGAATCCTACTGAGTCTGAAAAGAACAACGACAAATTCCCAAAGAAAACATATAGTTTCTTCGTCACAAAATGTGACGAGATATTCGACTTATTAGTTAAAGATGGCCAAATGATAGTGCCCTCAGGGGCAAAAATTCCTCCTTTAGAACAAAGAAAGAAAAGAGGTTTTTGTAAGTATCACAATTTTTTGGGCCACAAAACTTCACAATGTTTTCTTTTCAGGGATCTCGTTCAAGGAGCGATCAAAGAAGGAAGACTCAAATTTGCTGACAAACCCCAAATGAAAATTGATGCAAACCCACTGAGAGCTGATGCCCACTATGCTGAACCAGCAGGCATCAACATGGTCGAAACTTCTGAAGACTTCGTCAACATGCCGGTCTTTGGCAGTTTTACTGGGAACATCTCCAGAAAGACTGCGGAAGAGGTTAGGAAGGCTACTGAAGGCCTAAGCAAAAAGGCTACTGAAGGTCTAAACAAGAAATCTACTGAAGGTCTAAGCAAAGGAGTTACTGAAGACTCAAACAAAAGGACTACTGCAAGTTCTTATGTGGCTGCCGTCAAGGGATCAACAAAGGACCTTGAAGCCAAAATGCAAAAAATGAATCTCGCTGCCAAGAGCAACGTACAAGTCAACATGGTCGAAGTATCTGAGGCAAAGGCTTCAGAGGAAGCCATTAGACAAGAGGAGGTGGATAAAACTGCATTTCCAAAAGAAAATGAGAATCTGGATGACTTTATACAACAATGCCATAATAAGAAGTTTGAAGTTATGTTGTGTCCAAGATGCAACTCCATCTTCAAAAAAAAAAAAAGGCTGCAGAACACATACAGGGAATAAGGGCAGTGAAGGAGAAAAGGGACACCAATGCCCAACCCCACATGGTTTCTGAAGTTAGATACGATCCCAGAAGAGGACCAATGAACCAAGTGAAGAGGCCATCAACTTTCAGGCCATGGTTTATTATAGAAAGGGAAGGTGTTAGCACCCTTTCTATCCATGGTTTTCCATGGGCTCTTAGGTACTTGCTCATCTTTTAAAATTGCTTGTGTATGTGCTTTGTTTTAAAAATGTTTTACTTCGTGATAACCCTTGTATCAGTCCTCAAAGGTGTGACGAAGTTGTTTTGAAAATTGTTTTGAAATGTGAAAGTATGTGTGATGCGGTGGGAGAACTGACTTGAGGTTCAACGTTTGTGTTCGCAAATGTTGCGGTTTAGCAATTGTCGCCATCGACTTTTATTTTATCCAAAAGGAAAGGTAAAAAAGCACAGGAAAGACCTTCGAGATTATTTTTGAGTTCGGGGGGTAGATTATAAAAAGGGAAGGTGATAGCACCCTTTTTATCCATGGTTTTCCATGGGCTCTTAGTTACTTGTTTTAGATCACTTGCTTTGCTTTACAATTGTTTGAAATGTTGATTTGTGTGGTTTTGAAAGTATTTTGAAAAGAGGCCTTTGTTTAGGCAATCTTTATAATGATTCTCGTTCGTAAGAATGTATACAAAGATGTTTGTCTTTTGAAAAATGTTTCAATATTTTGAAAGTTGTTTGGAAAATATTTTGAAATATGTGTGTGATGTTTGAAAATAGAAAAGATTGTTTGCAAATTGATCAAGTAACTAGAAGCTATCTACCTACTCAAAAGTCTTTCTTGTACATTTTTATTCCTTTGATATTGTTGACCTACCATTGTTTTGGTAGATAACCATATCTTTGGATGTTAAACGGGACGGGCGTGGGTCATCGTATGACCATGATAGCAATATTGCCAAGTATCTTAGCAAGTTTTGAGGGACTAAGATCATCTTTGTTTAGGAAACCAAGATAGCGTCATCGAGGGACTATGATCTTTTGTTTTG